AAAGCATGGGGTAAAAGTACATAATTAAGAAAAACCGAAATACTTCGGATGTGAAGTGATTGACCAGTCGGAGTAGTCTTGTGAGAATTTACATACACAGTACCTATCCCCACTATGGGGCAATCACCGACTTTTTAGTTTTTTTTCTTTATTATTTATGCAATTTGCATTACGGCATCTTGTAAGACTCACAAGAACAAACATTTTCAGTTATATGAGATTCTTTACGTACGATGCACCAATTAAGAAAATAAAATCGTTATCAATTCAATAACTTTTCGAACAATATTTTATAACGAATAAAGTACAGAATTTATAATCTATTGGAACTAATATTATAAATAAGAAAAATTTTTTTAAGAAGTAAGCAATGCTCTCTGTGTTGTTCATTACTCTGCATCTGAGCTAGTTCAGTCAATTATAATCAAAGCCCGTACGGCTTTGATTATAGGTATTATACATGTCTATATAAACAAAGCGTAGGTACTGGCGGCGCGTGGTTTGCTGCGAAACTAGCAAGGTCATTCGCGTCGTATTCGGCCTTAATTAACCTAAACTCGTCAGTTTTATTTGCGAATTTTACCACAAAAAATAAGAAGAGAAAAACATACGTACTTGTGTCAATTAATATTTGGCTAACCTTCCTGATAATTGATAATATCCATATTTTCTTAAACATTAGTCTAGAAATGCTTGTAAATAAAAACTTCATTTTGTTCTTACCATAATGATGCGACTCCAACCATGTTTTATTTCACTCGAGTGAATCGAGTGAATTTGTCCAACTCGATAATCGATAGAAAATAAATTTTACCGAGTTACCGAGTTAACTCGGCGCATAGTATAGATTCAGAGGGTGCTATATAGATATTACTTCACTAGTTTACTTGTATATAATATAATAAGTCGCTGCGGGTGACATCACAAGTAGCATCCAAATTCAAACTTGCATCTGGCATGTTGTACACAAACCTGAACTTAGTTTGATTTATGATATTGATTTATAATTTTAATTTCATGTTGCCACATATTACTTATTTATAAAGGTACATATTTAAAAATGGTTTAACTAAAGTAATCGCTACTCTCAACTCTAGTGATAAACTTTTCTGTAAGTAGTCGATTTACTCAAAAACTAGTGTACAACTAGAATGACATACATGCATAAATTAACCCGAGTGGCCCGAATCACAAAATTCTACTCAAATCGCATCTTTATCTTTCGGCCAATGCAGTGTTTGTCTACAATTTAGTGATGAAATCGACTTAATAATTAAAGCAATTTATTGATATATTATGTAATAAATAAATTGATATTAGGTAATATGTTTATAATGTTGTATCAATTAATGTTACATATAATATAAATTGATTATATATACTTTGTGATTGTCAAATTATTAATAACATTAAGACTTATGTCATAACGTTAGAGTGATATTATTATATGAAGATTGTCGATACGCATACCAAAAATAATATATAAATACCTATTAAGTGTAGTAATAATAATTGTGTTGTATGGAAGAACAATTATAAAAATAATTTGTGACAAATTGACACAGCTTCGTTCAGCTAATTTGAATTGCGTATCTCGAGCTCAAAATCGAGTTACCTGAATTTCAACTCGAGTCGATTTTTTCCGAGTTATCACGGCACATCTCTAAGACAATATATTGCCTTAGCCAATGATCAGAACACGAATATCAAAACAACTAATTTTTTATTATACTTTTACTATTATAATTTGGTGTCTTTTTTTGGTGTAAACACCATTAAGTAACGTTAATATTTCTAGTGGGCCCAAAAATGAGTGTCCCCTTTAAGAAATAAAAAATCTGACTTCAATATACCTATATACTTATGAATAAAAGGTAAGCAATCTTTAACAATTAAAAAGTAAAGTTTATCAAAAATTTATTAATCAATACTTCTTGCTTTCAGTCTAGAGTCAGTCAGTCTAGAGTGTCAACATTTAAGGCGCTACTAAGGTAGCTGCATGTAATTCTACATGAGTCGGTGTGAGATTGTATGTTTAAGTAAATATTATCACCACAGTAACAAGTATGTGTTCATAGAATTATTATAATTAAAATCACCAATACAACCCCCTAAGTTCACATCTGGTAATAACCATACAATGGAATTATACGAACTTAGAGGGATTACGACTATAATTCAGTAAACACATACTCGTTACGATCGCGAATAATATTAATTTCAACATACAGCCTGACACTGACCTGCAAATTACAAAAACGAGGAAAAATTTGAATTTCACGGGCTACCCTGGCGCTTTCACCTTAAGGCGGTACCCTGACCAAAACCTGGCAAAAGTGCGTTTTTCAGAGAGTATTATCTCATTAGTTATAAGAAATAAGCTACATCTAAAAGCACATTATTAATGTTCGATATCCTATCATCACATTCCACGTTCTAATTTGTTTTTATGTGTTATGAATACATTTAAAATCTACTTTTAAAAAATGACTAAAATTATTGATTACATGCATCTGTTGCTAAAGGAAATGCTCTAATCATTTGAGAATTACACTAATGGATAGATAATTTAAAAATCTATATTCTACACGTTTGATTTAATTTCTTAAGTTCGCTTATCTCTTTTAATTGAAATAATTCCAAATATTCGGGCGTATTTTTCCGTGATATATTGTAGCGAGAGCGCGTGGATTGTATGGGACCGAACGCTCAAGGTCTCTCGCTAGGGGAACCGTCTTAAGGCTTCCGTCTAGCTTTGCTGTTTTACATTCCCAGCCATTAGAGGGGGCGCTCTCTCCCGTGCATAATAATAGTGTTCGAGATCGCAGGTGAAGGTGCTCTACTTCATTAAATATATGACTTATTAATTTTTTTTTCCAAAAATATTCATTTTACTTTTGTCGTGGTAGTTTAATTTTTTACCCTTTTATATTTCATAAATGTCGTTTTTAGTAATGTTTATACGGCGTGTAGGTTTAAAAAGGGTATATACAACCGCAGTAAAACAAAAACTGCCTCTTCATTCATTTCGCCTCTACCTTGTACATTTTGTACTTTACTACTATTTTTAATGACACAAGGATATTTCTTCTTTTTGCTATCCATCTTTTTCCGTTTATTTTTTTTTTTGTTAATAAATTATGTATAAAACTTAAAATATATAAAACATATACAAGTCCAAGTCAATTAATCTAATACTAATATTAACAATAAAAAACTAGAACTAATATGACAATTAAATAAAAATAATACATATTTAAGTAGAGCAACTTTCACGATATGCTCCGCTCAGTCCATAAGAGCTGCGCGAGGGAAAGAGATCAAACGTGCGAGCGAGAGGTAAAGTAACGTTGAGCAACACTGCACACGTCTGAACGCCGTGAAATCCCAGCGGAACTGAGAGAATTTTCAGGCGTTTCTGGTTTATAAATGGCATATAGGTAAAAAGTACGAAAATATATACTTTTTTAATTTTACTTATATCTAACTCACTTGAAAATACTTCTATTTTATGTGGTTTCAAGTACGACTTTGCTACATTTATACTTTTAATAGAAAAAAATTTCTATCAAGAAATTGTCAGTAACTGCCCGGAGTCAGGAAGTTGGCGGTGTCTCACCTTCGTGCCTCGGAAAGCACGTAAAGCCGTTGGTCCTGCGTCTGATCTCTCTCCGGTCGTGTCGGTTTAACGTCCCATCGGATTACGAGAGTGAGAGAACAGAGAGTGCACCTGTGAAAAAAACATGATGGTTCTACGTAGCATCACTAAGATCCTTTACCCATCTGAGTCAATCATAAGGAAGGTGACATCATAGCAGTCACCTTAGTCTTCATCCTCCGTCAAACGAAACTCTATAAATATAAAAAATAAATTGATGTATGTAGCTACTAAGGAAGTAGGTACTTACCAGTAATTAAAACGAACTGAAACTAGCGGATTACGGCGCGCCCGGAAAACTCCGAGGAGTGCCATCATTTAAAAATTTCAACTTAAGATTTCACACTCACGATCAGTTTTTAGATTTACGTCAGTTCGTCTGAGAAGTTTCAACTGACAGTGCGACCGAAAAAATCCGTGGGTTGTCGTCAGTTGAATATTTCAACTTAAGATTCCACACTAACGGTCAGTTTTTTGGATGTACGTCAGTTCAACTGATCATTTTAAGTGACCGTGTGTGGCATCCATTACAGGTACGATCAACCTACGACAACATTCGATTGGGTAACATATTCTAAAAACTAAAAACTTGAAACCAATAAAAACTGCAGATTTTGTTTGGAATTAAGTTATATTTATATCTATATTTTTAATTACAATTATTTGTAAAGGAAAATAATTTGGAGAAAAATCTGCATGTCTGAGAAATTCGCACATTAATTAGATCCGCTTTATGGACTTCTTATTTTATGCACTCAATGAAAGCTTCTAATCATGTGCGCAGCAGTCGGATATTCAAGGGCATTATTATAATTGTTATTGATTTCTATAAATCATCTACAAGCGCTAACATATTTGTTTCTCATTTTGCTTATATAATTTTTTATTGTTGTATATTAAAACACATTAACACTACTTAATATTTAATTGCGTAATATAGTATGCCTCAGGATTTTCATATGTTTTTTTATTAAAACCTTGTTGCTTCTCAATGATAAGAGCAAATGAGCCAGTGTAACCGTCCCTATTTAGAGTTGGCAGAGAATTTGCCTTAATCGTTACGCATGGCAGGCTGGATCTCAGTGCAAGGCGTTTCGTCGCTTTAACGCTCATCTGCTGTAGCTACCTATCGCCGATCATACCACCATCAAGCAAAAGCAAATTGATTTATCTGGCATTTCCCATAGTCACCTTTTACAACATCCATGAGACGAATAACAAAATGAAGGAATTAATTCTATTACGTCATGACAACACAGCTTATTAAATTCTAGAATATTAGTCGCAAAATTTCCTATTTTAGATTATTTTGAGTGTCACGGACCAATATACTAATAGGAATTTAATTCAAACCCCATGTACTTTTTATCATATATGCACCTTTTTCACCAATCATGATGGCCGGAGCGTTTGTGTGCGCCGCAGTTGTTTTTGGTATTACACTACTATCGATGACTCGGAGGTTTTTAATCCCGTATACCTTCAGTTCCGGGTCCACCACTGCACGTTGATCTGATGCCGGTCCCATTTTGCATGTTGATATTTGATGATGTAGCGTCGCCGTCATTGTCCGTATCGCGCACTCCCAGTAAGCATCACTATCAAACACAGGTTGCTCACAATTTGGAAACTTTTTTGTCGATAATTTAGCCCCGTATTTTTGAAAAGGAGGCGTATCTATCAGTTTTTGTATATACCTTATGGAAGCTACTAATGTAGCTGTGTCCTTTGGATGCTGTAAATAGTTACCATACAAAGCTGGTTGCTCAAACGGATTCTTTGACTTTAGTTTCAAATAACCTCTTGACTTTGGATGTAATAACATCGGGATGACTGTGAAGCTTTCGTATTTTTCAATGGATTTATAAACATCATTGTAAAGCCAATCTGTCAGTTGCAGTCCCTTTGCAACGAACTTTCCATTATCAGTTGCGATGGAGGCGCAAGCTCCTATAATTTCAATGTCAGGGTAGTCGCCAACTTCTTCAGAGATATTTGTTTTTATATAACCCAGAGTTTCTACACCAGCGAGTGACGTTATCGGACCGTCGCCGAATTGCATTAATGATAGTGCGTTCTGGATGGTTGCTATATTTTTCTCAGTGATAGTCAATCTGGTAGAGTTCAAAGTGAATGCTAGACCGGGAAAGGATATGTGATCATATAAGGTTTTTCCCACCTTTAAATTATGTATTACCGGTATGCCTAAAGATTCTAAATGGCTTTTGGGTCCCACGCCCGATAGCATTAATAAATGGGGCGATTCTATTGGACCTGCTGATAGGATGACTTCTTTTTTAGCTTTTATTTGATACAAGCGTCCATCTTTGTGAAATTCTACTCCGTATGCAGTCTTTGTAGTAGGATTTATTAAGATTTTTGTGACCCTACTCTTCGGTAGAATGTGCAGGTTTTGTCGGTTCTTGTGTTTATGAAGGAAAGCTTTCGCGCTGCTCATCCGAACTCCATGGTTTATTGTAGCCTGAATATAGTTAAATCCAAATCCATCGGGGCTGTTGTAGTCGACTTTTCTGTGTCCTAATAATTTCGCTGCGTCTAAGAGTGCTTTTGATAGCTTAGACCTAAAATAAATTTTTAATTACTTAAATATATTTTTTCTTTTTTTTTACAGCTCATAGCTGAGACATTGGCCTTTCTCATTATAGGAAGGATAACTCTTAGTCGCTTTGCTTTGCTGGCAATTTGGCGATTGCAGTATTACTTCTGTCACTGCATCCTGTCATACACATATAGACATATATGAAATGATTTGTAAAGCAATCTATCGGAGCTTTTTCCTACAGTCGCCTCGTACTACATACGTCGTATGACGTAATCGAATGATGAATTCTCTTATACCGCCACCACACAGTTACATTGTTATACACATATGTTTTAATATAAATATTTCTTAAATGCACTTGTAAAACAATATTTACCTAAAGGGAACGTCCTCTACCGTAAGTTCGCCGTCTCTTCCATGCCAGGGGGCGTCGGATAGACCTTTGAGATTTGCTCGTTCCGATTTAATATAGAAGGGCAATATCTCTTTATACGACCTGTAAAATATTAATTTTATTTTAACCATTTATTAATTTATTAATAAATTTTAATTATAAGAAAGAGAACAAGCGCAGGAATAACAGCTTTACGTGCTTTTCGAGGCACCAACTTCCTGACTCCGGGCTGCTACTGAGAATTTCTTGACAGAAAAACTGAATACTTTTTTTATTGGCCTGACGAGGGATTCGAACCCAAGACTTCATGATTAGCAGTCACGTTTACGACCACTAGACCAACGAGGCAGTCACCCAGAAAATGTACAAAATTTGCCTATCGCTAAATTTTAAAACTTTATTAACACTTCAATTACCATAAAAATCCCATGCAGTCGCATGCGTTTGTCAAATCCCGAGCGGTCGCATGCGGCCGCACCCACCCACAGTACTTTCAACCATTAAAACTTATATTTAGAGACTACTTTTCTACGAAGAATTTTGGCATTATGAAATCTATACAAAATTCTCTATCCTGTGGTCTAAACAAAAGTCAGGCTTTACTTCATTACAAAGAGATTTTATTGTATTTTGATAAAAAGAAACGAACATACCAAGCGGATATCGCCAGCGTGAAAATCACAATTATTTCTACATATCATTCGAAATTAATTGCTTAAAAAGATAAATTATATTCACAAAAAAACATTCATTACAATTTTATGTATACTGCAATGCACTATACTAAAACACTAGAAATATCCAATAATTAACACAGTAGCATTCACACGAAAATGGCGTACGAAATGAACGTAGCTTATAAATAAATATCCATAGACTTACTTACTTTTTATTCCACTAGGGGATAGAAAATTTCATATTGCCAAACCTATATAATGGCAAACTGATTATATAATGCCAAACTTATTTATAGAAAAATAGTCTCTAAACATAGGTTTTTATGGGTTAAAGTGGGTGGGTGCGGTAACATTTGACCTCTTGAATTTTGATGGAATATCGAAGCGGTTAAATTTGGACGATTGCAGTTTTAGGGGATAAAACATGTATAAAAACGAAGTAACTTCTGAAATAGGGAGTACCAAAACGTTTATAAACCAAAAGATTTTACCCTCAATCCATAATAGAAGTATTTTCCGAACCAGTGGTATGTTAGAAAATGAAATTCAAAACTCTTAAGGCCTTTTAAGTATTTATAGGAAGGGGTCGGTTCGACCGGGGAAGGACCACACAATCACAGATTACCAGCGTAAAACAGCAACTTAAGCTGCTGTGTGTCGTACGGTGAGCTGATTTCATTTAGTCCGCAAGATAGACACTATATCTGCATTTGGATTTTTAATCGAGGATAGTTGTAGATGGATGGATGTTTATGGGCCACAGCAGCCAATTAATTAGGTGGATTGTGTACTCATTTGTCACCTTAATCTATAAAAAATGAATTTATATTAATTAATGTTCTATATTACAGGTACATACTGTTTGATGGGGCTTTTGTAAGTTACAATGTCAGAAATAACAAATATAATTTTTTAACTTAGTTCCAAAAACAGGAAGTTACTACTTATGTTTGAAGCGTATGCTTGTTGTTGTATGTTCCGCTATGCTAAACCGATTTTAATGATTCTTCTTTAATTAAATAAGTATTACTTGAGGGGTGGTCCCATATAAAAAGATTGGAAAAATAGGGGACAGAGTTTTTAATGTTTAGACGACATTCTAGGTGTTACGTTAAACTTGTAATCCTAGTAGTATATCCTCCACGCAAAACAATTCTGGATGTTTGTTTTTTTGCATTTCATGTATGTAAACTATTATTCGTGGTAGAGCCACGCTGCAGCTACATATATTGTGGTTGTAGCATGAATGGGTCGGCTCGACCGGGGAAGGACCACGCTCTCACAGAATACCAGCGTAAAATAGCAGCTTAATACCGCTGTGTTTCGTATGGTGAGTGTAGAGAACCGAAGACCCGTTTTAATAGAATCGAGGCTCTTCTCTATCTTAGTCCTCAAGGGTGACAACGCATCTGCATTTTGATTCTTAATCGAGGGTAAATATAAATGTCTATGAGCCACAGCATTCACTTACCATCAGGTGGACTGTGTGCTCGTTTGTCACCCTTATCTTATAAAAAAAAACTGTCTCCTCCTCGCCTAAACGTTAGACTTTTCTGACATGATCAAGTTTCACAAATAATTGTTATCTTATTTTATAGTGAATTATATAATTATTTGAAATTTAATTCAATTTTCGTCAATTTCACTAAATAAAAACTTCATCTTTCTAAATCCGTAATTTTCTGCAAATAATCTACCCAAATCGTTACGATATCGCCCTTGAAAAAACCCTAAAACTTGAAGTTTTCGACGTAAATCGCATATCGCCCTCTTAATTCTTTCATGCTACATGCTTTATTTCCGCCATAGGTCATCCAGCCGGTCGGTGGATCTTCATCCCTTTATTATCAATATTCGATTTGCTTAGTCCAAGGAGTAAAATAATTTGCCGGCGTCTGTCTTTCTGTTCAAATATAATCTAGACGTCTTCAAGGCAAGTTATACCATCCAGCTTGACCAGCACTCACCACCAGGTGGGATTATGTTCAAGAACTGGTTTAAAATAAGTTAGAAAAAAACATAAATCGCATCTAAAATTCATTCTTATGAAGAAGGGAGTATTATAAATTTGACAATATTTGTAATTTTATAAGGTTAAATTATTTATGTTGGGAGAAAGATTGTCTGCTTGTGAAATTCTTTCCGCTTCTTCTCACAAGGTTTCCCGTAATAGGAACTTATCGACGGCTCCATGGTGCAGCGACTTAGCACTGAGTTACAGCGCTAAGCGCTCGGATCGGGGGAATCCCGCACGGAATAAGCATTTGTATATGGCCTACAAGTAATTGTTCCGGGTCTTGATGTTTGTCCTTGTGAAATTTATGTTTCTAAACTGTCTCCACGATACAGGAGAAAATTCTAGTGTGGAGGTAATGCTTAAAAAAAAGAGAAAGAAAAAAGGGACGGAGCGACGTAGCTTTCTTAAATTTCGAAAAATGATTTGTAAAGGTCAATTTAAAATAGAAATATGTTGACTTTGCGTTTAAGTCCAGTCCAGCTATCTAGTGGCCGTTTGACTATTAAAAAAATATTGCTGATAGCCTATTTCTATTATACTCGTAACTTCGTTTGCTCTTTTCTAACGGTTTATACATACCAGCCATAATTGCCGGCTGCAGCAATCCTGTCCCAGTCTTCGGGTAATCCTCGACTGTAGATCATGTAGTTGACTACACTAGTGCCACCGACCGCCTTACCCCTTGGCCAATGACACCTTTCATTTTTCATACCTGAAAAATGATACGAGGTGCGTGATTTAGTAACTTGCTAAATATTAATTAAACCAGTTTTTTCGCGCGGCTTTGCTCTCGTCTTGACTTTGTTTGACTAGCAACATTAGTAGTGTTACATACCAATATTCAGAATCTGCTAAGAGTCAGTTCACACTAAGACGTGACGCGACGTGACGCGTGATACAAAATATAACTTTATTTACTACACAAAAACATACAGCTAAAGATGGCTCAGCGCGACGCCGTGAAGTGCAGAAAGCCGTCGTGGCGACTTATCTTGTTTCTACTATTTTCGCGCTGCGCAGCGCGGTGTCTCATTGCGCAGCGAGGCGTCGCGCTGCCAGCGACTTGACGATGCGCCTCGCGATGTCGCGATGCGTCTCGCGGCGGCGCGCTGCGTGGTGCGAAAAGTGATCTCTTCAAGCATCGTCATGTCGCGTCGAGTCGCATCTCTGTGTGAACTGATCCTAATTGTCTTTCAGTGTGCATTATATATTCACTTCGTAATTTTTTTACAGTTTAAATAATTGATTATTCGACAGCGCCACCTAGATTTTGTGGTTTTCTTTTGGACTAAACTAACATATATGTATATTTCGATTATTAGTAATTTTTTCCCATACCATACATAAAGAATTTGTTAATACTACAGTGATACTACCATCACTTCGACAAAAATATTATGGTGTGAACATGACAACAATATTAATCGAAAAGTCAATAAGTTTACTTTTAAAATACAGTAAAACCTGGGTAAGTGAGAACTGGATAAGTGAGAAAACTCTATAAGTGAGAGTAATAGCCAGGACGCGTCATTTTAAGCTCCCAAAACCTCTATTAGCGAGAAAGAGAAACCTCTGTAAGAGAGAGACCTTTTTCCCTTATGGATCTCCGTAAGTGAGACTGCTTCTTATCTATACCTCTATAAGCGACAGTCGAGCTTTATTTATTTATATTATTTAGGAGGAACTATAGCTACAATAAAAATACATACATAAAAGATACACACATACAGTAACAAATGACAAAACAAATTACAAATTTAACATCTGCTATTTTATACTACTCATTCGTAACTTTCGTGAAACTGTGACTCCCTATCATTGTTTTTGTATTGTTTTTTCGCCAATATTGTACCTACAATACCCGGCGATAAGTATTGCACATCGACCTTTGGAAAGAGACAATCTGCTAATTTCTTAATTATAAAGTACATATATGTCGAAATCTAATGAACGTAACATAATATACACACTATTAAAAATATATACGTACAAAATATATGTTGTGCATATTATTATTCACCTAATTTTATCATATTTCATATTTACTACATTCGTACTTGCTGTGATTTGTTATTGCTGCGTACCTCTAAAAGAGAGAAACGCTACCCATGTACCTGCATTAGCGAGAAACTCGGGTTAGTGAGAAACCTCTATAAGCGAGAATGAGATTGTGCTCTCTTGAACTCTCGCTTATCCAGGTTTCACTGTACATATTATTCATTACATAGTCGTAGATGGGTATAATGTTACAGTAATAAAAAAGTTTGTCGAAATTATTTTGAAGTTTTAGTTTTTAACTTCCCGTTAAGGAAATTGAAAATTTTCACAAATCAGGAAGTTATTGTTTTTACCCCGTTTTTCTAAAATTGAGTTTTCATCAAATCTTGACGTATTGAGGTCACAAGAAGCCAGCCTGACATTTTTGCGCACGCACGCACGCACGCATGCGTGCGTGCGTGCCTTTCGTGTGTGTGTGCGTGTGTGTGTGCGTGTGTGTATGCTTGTGAGTGTGCGTGTGCTGTGTGTGTGTGTGTGTGTGTGTGCGTGTGTGTGTGTGTGTGTGCGTGTGTGTGCGTGTGTGTGCGTGTGCGTGCGTGCGTGCGTGCGTGCGCGTGCGCGTGCGCGTGCGCGTGCGCGTGCGCGTGTGCTGTGTGTGTGTGTGTGTGTGTTTGTATGTAAACCTCTCATAACTTTTGAACGGCTTGACCGATTTAAATGAGCTAAGCGGATTTCCAGTGTTTCATGAAACATAAATGTCCTATGAATTTTGATTAATTCGCACCAGTAACGCGTAAAAATAAAAATTTTGAAAAACTGTTTTTTTTTGGAATAATTTTAAACGGCTTTACAAATTCCAAAAACTATTGTTCGTTCATCGTTACTTGACGCGTAATCCGATTGGCAGCACTGTAATTTACAGTGTTGCATGTTTCAATGTGAATAGCGTTCCCAAAATGTAGGGAAAGGCTTTATGGATATGGTGCTGATGACTATACTTATGTAACTTTTTAAGTGTCATAGTGTACTCTCTGAAACAATTCATATATCAATAGGAATTTATTAAGAGAGGGTTAAAAAGAATAATTTTATATAATTATGATCAATAAGGTGTAAAGGAATAATATCTTCTTCAATGTTACTTGAATACTCACTGTCGCTGTCACTTTCGTCACTGTCAATGCCAACCCATAATAAAAAAACGATCACTTCCTTCAACTATTATTTTTTTTTCACTATGTACTCATCTTCAATTTTTATATCACGTGAGCACTCTTTTTTCCAAAGCTCTTAGCTTATTGAGCTTAACGTTTCTTTTATAAGGGATCCCAATTGATCACCTCTCTGGCCCCCATTTTTCTTTTCGAACCGTCTCATCGTAACACTTCATATTCGGTCAATTGGATTTAAATCCGCGAGATATTGGGGTAGTCACAAAATATTATGACCATATAATTTTATTAATTCGTTAGCTTTATGGCTCTGGTTTATTTTTTATTAATTCATGTAAAATATTTTTAGGCAAATTTGGTGAAAACAACAGTCCCTTGTTTTAAAGCCACTCTACCATATCTATTTTGAGGCTTGCCATATCATGACTTTTATTTATTTGTACAGTATGATATGGTTCACTGTCTATTACAATCACACTATTAGGAGGCAGATTTGGCAAAACTTGTTTTCCAGCCATTTTATAAATTGATCGCTATTCATGTCAACATGGTAGTAATGAAGCCGTCTGCAGTTCCAGCATGTGTAATTATCCATCGCCTACCCGTAACTGAATCTCTCACTAATACACCTTCTTCAGAATCTGACTGCCAACATTTTTGTACCCCATATGTACAAAGAATAAATGTTTCATCTAAGTAGACAATAGTCCGCCCCTCTTTTGGGTATTTTTTTAAAATTTCATTCTAGTAATTAAATCGCCAGCCATATCTATACTGTTCAGCTAACATCTGTGCGTTCCACTAACATTTTTCGTTTTGATTGACACTTTTCGTATATATCCGAGTCGTTTTAATATATTCCATAGTGTAGTACGCCCCACCTTCAAAATTTATTTCATCTCGCAATTCGACATGTAATTTGTTTAACGTAGCAATTTTTTTTTCGTACAGCGTGAAATGACATAAGAATTTGTCGTATTGCACCGGCATCAGAATTATCGATTTTGATCTCTATATCGCGATTCTTACGCGTGTTGTTTTTTTTAATATACCAGGCACACCCAAATTTGAAACAGAACTGGTCTCCTTTTCTTGTCTCAAAATTCGGGTTACAGTAGAATTCATCAAACAAATGCAACTTTATTTTCTGAGGTAGTTAATAATATTAGTATATTTTAGTAACGTAAGTAACGTTACTAAAATACATACGTGACGTTACTAAAATAAATATACTTCTATACATACAAATATTTTAATATCATTTAGCGAATTACATAAAGAACAGTTAATCTAAATCTTTGTAACTGGTCACCCTAAAAACATACCGGTGATGGCGGCAACTCGGACACGAACATGTTGCAATGGCAAAATCAGCTTGCTTTCCGCCTATTCTTTGTCACAAAAAGCGTAAATTTAAAGAATAGTTCGCCCTTTAGCACTTTTAACTACTTTCGGCATTTTTAAAAGTGAGATTAAATTATTAAAAAGAAAAAGAGCACACAGATAGCAACCAATCAAACCAAAATTAAGATGGCGACAGAGAAAACAGTGCTACCAATCACTCACGCGTCAAGTTAAGATGAACGGACAATAATTAGCTTTTAACCTTGAAAAACCACGTCGATCACCGCCTGTTCGGTCAAAATCAGATGATTCGTTCGTGAGATTCGTGAAGGAAAAATTAAAAAAAATTATTCCTATATTTCATATTAAACGTCATAATTTGGTGAAATTTGGAGCGCTTTTTATTTGAAGTTAGCGGAAAGTTCCGGGGATGGCCTGCAGGGTCAACCAATTTTTTGACTTGATTGTCATTATTAAGCCTAAGTACTTTCGTTTATTACCAACCTCCACAAAGTGCACAAAAGTATTTTTGGATATTGGCATGCAAACAGTTGTACGAGGTTTTCTGTACAGAACTAATGAACTTACATTAATTTAATTTTGAATAGATTCTTAAAATTGCTTTGCAATTATCTGAGAGCTAATTGATGATATTGGTAGCTGCTATAAGACAAGTGTCGTCAGCCAATTTACACAATTCCTAGTGTTTTGAAGGTTTTTACTATTACTTGCGTCGCTCGACGGATGTAATGTAATGGAGTGGTCTAAGTACGGATCCTAGTGCCGTGCAGTCTGAGACTAATTTTTGTTTTCATAGTATCTCTAACCTTGGCTACGTTTAACCAGTTCTAAAAAAGTAAACCAATGGTGTATACACCACCATTGGTCAAAACCTATCTAAAAGAATGACATATTAAGCACGATCGAAGTAAGGACCTTATGTTACCCGTACATGGCTAAACAGACTTCTATCCACCATTTGTTAGTTAGAGCTATGTGCTATACTATTCAACCAAAACAAAATTATAGAAAGTTATTAATAAGCCAAATGCTTAGCCACTGTCCAACCATGGTTACAAAGCAAAATTCTTTTATGTTGAATTACTTTTAATTTTTTTTCAATTTCTATTGTTACGAATTATTATTCTAACAGTAATTGACCCCTCCTTCTTTTATTTTAATTTTAATAATAACTAACTAACCCATGCAAACGCCTGGTTGGTGTTCCATCAAATAAGGCCATACATAATCGGTTTGTTGGAAGAGAGGAGCAAGCGCCGGTATTCCGGTAAACAGCGATTCTCCTTTACCAGCCTCCAAGAGAAGAACCGAAGCTTTACGTCCTTCACTAAGTCGTGATGCTAGCACGCTCCCTGCGGACCCTGCACCAACTACGATAAAGTCGTATTCGACAAGAGGTCCTTTAAATCCTGGAACATTTAGAATAAAATATGTTATAAGAAATCAAGAAGTCAAGCGCGATTATATAATACACTTTTCTTTCTTCGTTTTTACCAGCCTGTAAAAGTCCACTACTGGTTTATTTGCCACACTTCGCTGTTTCCCGTCGCCGGTCTCAGTACTATTTTATGTCTGACGTCACGAGATTTTTATTTGTTTACCGCCATTTATTGGAAGACCTAATTAAAGGTGCTCGTTAAAATACGCAGCAAGCTAAAGTTGCATAAAACTATAATCATGTAACGCCATCTATTATTTATTCTTAAAACTCTGCAAATTGTCATAGAGCTATTTTGTTCCTTAAAGAATTAAAAGATGTCGTTGATGCGTAGTAACACTTATATTAACCTTAATTCTATTGAAATGACGTCGAAATTAAAAAATGGGATAATTATACGCTGTGTTAATAAAATAAAGCAGATCAAAACAGATAACACATAGAATCACTGATACGAGTAGATGTCTGCCGGAGCTGTAAAGTATGCTTTATGATTATGCTTATGTTTGGTGATGTGTAACGTTTATCTCACAACTATGACGGTAATTGGGAGTACTACGCTCGAAGTTATTGAGGAGTATGTTTATCTGGGACAAATAGTCCGACCATAGGTAAGTCCAACTTCGACCGAGACGAGAGGTCAATCGACGGATTCGCTCAGCTGGACAGCGTTTGGGAGATTAGGCAACATCTTCTCGTCAAACATATTAAAAATACAAGACAATATTGTACAACCAGTGCGTGTTGCCAGTGATAAATTATGAGTCTGTGACGTGAGATGTAGTGACGACCTGGTAAGACATGTCATAATTCATGGATGCAGGTGGGTCAGCATGGTGCTTTGTGGCTATCCTAATGGGAAGCCTATGTTCAGCAGTGGAGTTGTGAAGGGTTTTAATGATGATTATTGTTTTTGGTTTCGTGTATGTTTCATTAGCCACATAAACGGAATCAACTTGGAAACATACTTGGAAATATTTGGGTAGTCTTTTTTTTAAGTTACGATATGTACGAAATGCGTTTTGAATATATAAATTGAAAATAATTTTTATAATTTAAAGAAGATACTCGTTAAAAAAATATTAATGACTTGTTTAGTTATTGGTAATTAAGCAACATTCCTAGTTGTATAGTCGCCTCTTACTTCCACCCCCTGCCGGACGTGCTTAGTTTTTTTCATAAATTTTAAAAAATCTCATTTTGAGGTTACGTTCTCGTAATGTTTTTGACTATAAACCTGATTTATGGGGGGAGAGACTCACTCGACTCCGCCATTCCCTTCTAACATAACCGGTCCGAGTCGGGGTGCCCTAAGTCCCAAGCTCGCTTCGCTCGCTCTTACACTCAATAAAACACCAAAATGTTAATTTTTATAATTACCTTAAATTATAAAAATAATTTATAGCTACGACCATTTGTAGAAAAGGATCCAGAGGGGTATCGAAGTCGAAAAACAGGTGGAGGCAGATAAAAACTTTAGGGTGCACATTCACGTAAACTCGGAAACAACGGAATGACGTAAATTATAAATTAGTTATATATAATATATAATATTAGTTGGCACTAAAATAGCCGGCCTAGCGATTAGTTTTACGCATTTTGAGATGACTGACAGATGCAATGTCAAAAACGTTAGAATTTAATTAAATGTATGTTCCATTTCACGTTTAGTTAGTGATTTACGAATATTTTAAAAAAATAATTAAAAATACTTTGACGCTGCTCTGGCAGCAAAAATCACATGAGAGTGCTACAGATAGACCCCTTGACCCCCCCCCCCCCCCCACAGTGAAGAACCCTCAAATTCAGGCGATTTAATTTCAAACCCAACTCCTTAGATTTATCACGTCACCAGTAAAAAGTGCCTCCGGTTCCTTACACTCATCACACAAAACGTACCATAATCAAACTTATGTCAAGTGTAATTGTAATAGGCCAACGATTCTTGTTGTAGATAAAGGTAAAATGCAAGTGCTCGTTTTCTTCCAAAAATTTTTATAATTCGGTTCAAAAAAAGATGCTATTGTGCTTTTATAATAGGTCCTTACTCCTTACATATTGGCGTTAATTGGCGTTTTGTACGGGAGGAATATATTAAAGTCAATTTTTTTTGTAAAATATATTTAATTAATCTAAGTATGCACCGTTGTTATCTATGTACTTTTGCCATCTCATAGGTAGTTCATTGATCCCTTTACTAAAAAAAAATGGGGGCGAGAATCGATAAACTCTTTGAAAGCGGTTTGGACTGCCGCATCGGAGTTTAATTTTTTTCCTTGTTGGAAGTTGTCCGAATTCCGGAAAAAATGGTAATCTGTTGGAGCAAGGACCGGGGAGTACGGTGGATGTTGCAGACATTCCAATTGTAGCTCATCTAACTTAGTGGTTGTTCGTTGTGCAGTGTGTGGTCTTGCGTAGTGTTGCCCAAATGCAAGAACAAGACGAGACTTAGCCAGTCTTGGTCTTGGTCTTGCGCCAATACACCTGGTCTTGTTCTTGGTCATGGTATTGCGCTCTCAGTCTTGTTCTTGGTCTTGGTCTTGCAGCAAGAGTCTCGCAAGTCTCGCAATTACCTATTAGCCTATTGTTATTTATTAAACGTTACTTTAGATCTTAGAATAACTTAACAGAGTTGGCACATTTTAAGCTTGAATTAACATAGCCATAGAAAGACCAACCAAATTAATAAATGTCTAAACATTTAATGAGAAATTTGAAAAAACAACTAATACCGGGTGGGGTTTGAACCCACGACCTAAGCGATCCGTGCCGGTGCTGTAATCAACTGAGCTGTCTACCAAGTCTCACGGCCACGGGAGTTAGTCTGTTTCTTAATAAACGTTTACATTTAATAAGCTTATATGTGTTAAAACTTAGTCAAAACATATAAAAAACAAATTAATGACATTAACTTGACTGTATTATAAAGAACATTATCTGTCTAGAAAGAGATTGATAGACCCTTATATGAAATGGAATAAGAGTATACAATTAACCATTTATTTAAATAAAAAAAAATACAATACAAATTAAATAACAGTACACAACAGCTTTGACATTACTGTTAAACTGTTGGTCAAAAGAATTAATATAAAGATTAATTCTTTTGACCAAGAATTAATACAAAGTAACCATCTGGCTGACTCATCACTTAACTTATTTCTATGTTTTCTAATTACTAATGATGCTTTAGAAAATAATCTCTCAGCAGGTACTGAACTTGCAGGTATTGAAAGAAAATCACGGGCCATCTTCGAGAAAGTCGGATATTCTGTCTCATGCGTCCTCCACCACTCTAAAATGTCTTCAGAACTGGCGGCTCTGTATTACTTAGGTACTCCTCCAACTCGTCTATAACTAAGCCTTGATGAAAAGATCCAGATCCAGATGACGTCGAGGGACATGCATACAATTTCTCAAAGTCTATTACGTCTTCATCTTCATCATATTCACATACTTTCTTTTCATTTCTTGCTGATTCTAGAGATGTATTCACGGAGTGTAGATTTTTATATTCTTTATAAAGTTTATTAAATTTGCGCAGGCTTTCTGTTTTAATTTGCTTCCCCCATAATGTGATGTCAAAAGTCTGAGTCTTATGTCTTGGGTCTAAAATTAAAGAGGTACAATAAATCCAGTTGCTCTTTTTATAATGTTTGAGCATTTTGTCTCGAGCTGCTTGAAAACCCAGAATGAGCCTTTCATCCACTTCGGATCGATTAGGTTTCTCATCTAATTGTTTTACCATGGATTCAATTTTATCGAGCAAGAGATTAAATGATACAATGACTAGCGGTAATGTAACATATTTTTCTCCACCAAGTTTCGTTGATAGAAGTTTAAAGTTTATTAGAAACTTATGTATTTTTACGAGTATTTGCCTTTCACTATCTGTGATTTGAAAATCATTCAATTCGGTGACAGAAGTGCACAATATGTTAATGCCAGTTCTCACATTTAAACCAAATCCAATCGTATCATGTGTGGAATTCCATCTCGTTGGACAGTCGAGTATGGGGTTCAGATTTGATGGCACGCCAGCTGCTTCACAAGCAGACTGAAACTTCTTCTTCAATATCTCACTTCTTTTTATTTTACTGGAAATACTGCGTAATTTTGTTATAGCTGTACGTGAGTCGGCAATATTTGGTGCATATTCTTCATCTTCCTCAGTTTCGTATTCATTATCTTCATACTGCTGTTCTTGTCCCTTATTGTCAGTTTCACTGTGTAATGCTAAGGTCTTTAATAAATCTTGTACACCAAGGTTCAAAATGTGAGCAAAGCACCGGAAATGTTGATTGCCTGAATCAAAGTGTGGCAGCTGTTTGTCCAATTCATACATAAATTTGGTATTTGCAGTTGTGTTATCGACCGTGATACCCTGTATTTTATCAATTACGTCATATTCCAATAAACATTCGTGGAAAATCGTTGCAATATCTTCCCCAGTATGTCGACCGCGTGATGGTATAAAATCAAGGACTACGGATCGATACTTCCATTCGTTGTCTATATAATGAATAGTGACCCCGTAGTAACTCCTACCAAGAATTGACGTCCATCCATCAATGGTAAATGACATTTTATATGAAAATTGTTGTAGTCCTTTCTTAAGATTCAATTGAAGCTCTTCAAACCGTTCTTTGACCTTCCTTCTAAGTGTGGACCTTTTAGGAAACACCATATTTGGGCAAATTGATCGAAAATATACTTGTGTAGCTTCGTCATCGAAAAATGAGAAGGGAAGATATTTTTTAACCATTCAATCAACTGTAGCTGTCGTTATGTTGTCACTGCTACTTTCAGACTGAAATAAAACAGTAAATCATGTGTCTCGCCGATTATAAAAACAAATGAAAATGTGAATGAATTATAAATACTACACTAATGTAAATAAATAATACACTATAATCTATATATATATATATATATATATATATATATATATATATATATATATATATATAT